TTTAAAAGCTCTATAACGAAGTGAATACACAGAATTATGTAGAAATGTAGAATTTTTCTTCTTTAATTTTTAATTCTCTCTCTGCCAATCAATGGTTAAAGCGAATATTTAAATTAATCATTATCGAAACACTGTTACATTTTGTAGCACTTTGTGAACCAACTGATAAACAACATACATGATAACTATGATAGTTATACTTGATAGGCTGCTTTTAATCTAAACTATTTTCATAACTTTTACTTCAACTATTTGTTTCATCCATCGGAAGTTTTTTGAGAGCACCCACCACCCCCACCACCCCACTCTTTCGCCGTATTTCACTATCTTTCGTTATTACAACTTTTTAACATCCTCTCCCACCTTTCACTTGTACCTCCACCATCTTCGATCCACCTCTTCCACTCGCCCCTCCCCCTACCCTCACCAACCATCCTCGCCGGACCTTTCATTCGCCGTATTTCACTTTTTTCGTTATTACTACTTTTTGACATCCTCTCTCATCTTTCACTCGCACCTCCACCATCTTTGGCCTACCGAACCTTCTGCACTCGCCCCTCCCCCTCCCCCCACCACTCACTCCCGCCACCCCTCCCTTTCGCTGTATTTCACATTCTTTCGTTATTACAACTTTTTAACATTTTCTTTCACCTTTCACTCGCACCTTGACCATCTTCCACCCATCGGAGCTCCTCCACCCGCCTCTGTCCCTCCCCCCACCAACCACCTCCGCGGGCCTTCTCTTTCGCCGTATTTCACTCTTTCTCGTTTTACAACTTTTTAACATCCTCTCTCACCTTTCACTCGCACCTCCACCATCTTCAGCCCACCGGACCTCTTCCACTCGCCCTTTCCCCTCCCCTACCACCCACCACCACCACCCTCTCTTTCGCCGTAATTCACTTTTTCTCGTTATTACAATTTTTTATCATTCTCTCTCACCTTTCACTCGCACCTCCACCATCTTCGACCTACCGGACCTGAAAAATTAATTAAAATAAGAACCCGACTGTTAACTGGTACGACGAATATTTAAAAAGAAAAATTTTGAAAAATTATCGTAAGTAGTATAGTACCACTATGGAAACCCGCCTGTGACGTCACTGGCGCCAACCCCCTCCACTACGGCGCCAGTGCAAGTGGTACGGGCGGGTCCCCATAGTGGTACTATGTTACGAAATGATCGCCCCCCCTCTACTACTGACATCATCCCCACCGCTACGACGCCAATGGGCCGCTCGGCTTCCCATAGTGATGCTATTTTACGAAATATTATCAATCCCTCTACTATCGACGTCATCCCCACCACTACGACGCTGGTACCGCTATCGGTTCCCTATAGTGCTACTATTTTACGAGATGATATTATTTCTCTCTCTCTCTCTCTCTCTACTACTACTACTACAACGTCGATGTATTCCCATAGTGCTGCTATTGTACGAGACGATAGTTGTAACTAATAGCTAAATGTAATGAAGGGGTGATAGATATATTTTAACGAGCTGTGGCCACAATGCGTAGAACTCGTCCGGGTGTATCGACTCTTTGCTAACGTTAGCACTGATGAGTGCAAGTGGACCAGCATACTACTGACGTTATCCCCACCACTACGACGCTGGTACCGCTGTCGGTTCCCTATAGTGCTACAATTTTACGAGATGATATTAATTCTCTCTCTACTACTACTACTACAACGTCGATGTGTTCCCATAGTGCTACTATTATACGAGACGACAGTTGTAACTAATAGCTAAATGTAATGAAGGGGTTATAGAAATATTTTATTGAACTATAAATGTATATGTACTTATTTTATTGAAGATCTATTAATGATTACAATTTTATTAAACTTCAAAATTTTTAACAACAAATGTAAAAAATATTTTTGTTATTTTAAACATTTACGGTATACATATTTTGCATAAGGTATAGAATTTTCATTATTCGGTTGACTTATTTTTTGTCTTCTGTATCAAAGTATTTGTACGCGCTATGCACGTTTTCATTTTTGTATTTTCGCTCACTTTGCTACGCTCCCTCCTTCTGAAAAGGGCGTTCCCCTTCTCCTCAGCGTTCGTTTCTGCGTTCGTTTGCGTTCGTTCGTTTCCGTATCTGTTCGTGCGCCACTACCGTTTCTTTTTCCTAGTTCGTTTTCGTTGAAGCATGCAGCAGCATGATTTTTCTTTTACGCTTATTCATAATCGTTTTTAAGTTAAGATCACAGCACACAGTGCATTTTTGTTGTAAACTAACCAAATATAGCAAGATCAATCAATTTTACGTGCTGTTTATTTGTCAACACTGGTCCTTCGAGCATCGTTACAAGTTGCACCAAGCATAACCAATTAGTACGTGAGCCACAAGGCGATCCAAGGAGAACTTAGTACTACACATAGTGCAAAGAGGCACAAGCCTATTCATTTGGTTCTTCGAGTATTATACATTTGCAAACATAACCATTTATTACGTGGGCCACAAGGCCCTCTAGGAAAAAATAGCGCTACACATAGCGCATAGAGGCACATGCCCGCACATTTGGTCCTTCGAGCCGGATACAGGATAACAAGGAATCCGTCCCAGCGATACAGAGGGTATAACCTGAAATTCATTCAAATTCTTATTCGAGCGTGCTCACAAGCCACAAGCACAAGCATAAGCTTTTGGGTAAGATTGTTTCGTTTACTCAAGGTAAGATAGCCATATTGCATGCGTCTTCACATTTGACCGCCATATTGGTTTTTCATTTCTCGAAACTTCGTTACATATACGTTCTCACATATACGTATATCTTTATATGCACACGCATGCGCTTCCTTTCACAATAAAGGGCATTATTCTCAATTCATTAACGATAACGTAAGATTCCAAGCATGGATTCGATATCTTTGACAGAGGCTAAAACTAAACGCACAACTGAAAAGGCCTCTTTAACTCGACACAAATCTGCCATAGAAAACTTTGACGCGAGTCTGGGATCGCGACATGACATTATTGAACGCAAAAAAAAGACTGTTGGAATTATGGAATCTTTTCGACGTAGTACAATCGCGAATAGAGGTTCTTGAGAATGAAGAAGTGTCTTCTCAAGATTCAGATCAATTAAACGCTCAACATGAGCAACACCAAGTAAGCTTCGAATCGACATACTTCAACTTGATTTCACGCTGTGAATCCTTACTTGAACATTTTGATCAACGTAACATTAGGCTTTCTTCGGGATCTTTCGATACGCAAGGCTCTAGTACATCTGCCCGCAGGGAAGCGCATGTTAAGTTACCTAAAATCGAGCTTCCAGTGTTTTCAGGTTCCTACGAGGACTGGTACTCTTACCATGATATCAGATATGTTTGAACAATTAATCCACACCAATCAAAATTTATCCGAGATAGAGAAATTCCATTATTTGCGATCTTCCCTCAAGGACAAGGCGTCTGAAATAATAAAGTCTATTGAGACCACCGCTGATAATTACAAGGATGCCTGGAACGCTCTCAAGGAACGATTTGACAACAAACGGTGGATATTACAAAGGCACATCAAGGCCATTTTCGAAATCGCTCCAGTAACAAAAGAAAATTATGTTCAGTTACGTGAATTGTTAGATACCGTTTTAAAACATTTACGCGCTCTTAAAGCCATGAGAAGACCCACAGATACTTGGGATGATTTAATCGTTCATCTTATAATTTCGAAACTTGACACGGTTACTAATAAGGCGTGGGAAACAAGCATTCCTGATAAGGAAATTCCTACATTGAAATCATTGACTGATTTTCTTTCAAAACGTTGCAGCGCGCTTGAAGCAATTTTTAGCAAATCCTCAATCAATCAATCTGTTAATTCTTCAAAGGCCGTTGCAAAATTAAAGAATTCTTCGGTTTCTAATCTCGCGACTTCTAATTTATCTTGTCCTAAATGTAAGGAAAATCATCCGCTTTACTATTGTGAAACGTTTCTCAAATTACCAGTAGAAAGCAGAATCGCCTTTGCAAAGAAGGTTCATTTATGTCTAAACTGTTTGAGATCTAATTCTCATCAAGCTAAAAATTGCACTTCAAGCTCTTGTCGCAAATGTAAAGGTCAACACAATACACTTTTACATTTGTCAAAGACAACAGACGCTAACGAGTCGTCTAATGCGAAAACAGCTGTGACTTCCGATACAGAAATTTCTGCGAAGCCAGTCGCAACACAATGTTTATCTACTTATCAATCTCTAGGAATTATATTATCAACAGCCATTATTCATGTATTTGACTGTAATAATCACATCCATTCGTGTCGTGTATTGTTAGACAGCGGATCACAAATGAATTTCATTACGCAGAGTCTTGCCGACAAATTGTACCTCAATAAAAGGCAAATAGAGATATCTATTTCAGGTGTAACTAATGCTAACATTCGAGCCAATCAAGCGACAGTCGTTCACATAAAATCGCGGTTCAACAATTTTAGCGAGAGGATAGAATGCGTTGTTTTGCCAAAAATTACTCAACAATTGCCTCAAAAATTCATTTCCAAACAGAATATAACTATACCAAATAATTTAAAATTGGCCGATCCTGATTTTAATGTTCCCGCTGACATTGACATGCTAATCGGCGCTGAGATATTTTGGAAGCTCATTTGCGCAGGTCAAATTAAACCTTCTAGAAATAAACCAACACTGCAGAAAACTCTCTTGGGATGGATTTTATCTGGTCCGACATCAAGTATTCCTAGTAACTCCAGTTCTTCAATCATCAGTTGTTCTGTAACAGAAGAGTTAAATCATGCTCTCAGTCGTTTCTGGGAATTGGATTATTCGATATCCTCTTCGATTTTTTCTCCAGAGCCTCAAGCTTGCGAGAATCTATTCAAGGACACTGTCAAACGCAACAGCGATGGACGCTTCGTGGTCCAGCTACCGATCATACCTAACAAGCTATCTGAACTCGGTGAATCAAGGGAAATAGCCACTCGCCGCTTCAAATGTTTAGAGAAACGCTTTGTTACCTCTCCTAAATTACATGCAGAATACAAAGAATTTATACAAGAATACATACAACTTGGTCATATGCGTGAGGTCACTCACATTACAAATAATGACAGCCAAACATATTACCTACCGCATCATGCCGTATACAAAGAAACGAGTACTTCTACCAAACTAAGAATGGTTTTTGATGGTTCTTGCAAGACAACCACTGGAGTTTCGTTAAATGATGCATTATTGGTAGGCCCCACTATACAAGATGATCTGCTTTCAATATTAATAAGATTTCGTATGTTCAGATATGTCATGACTGCAGATGTGGCAAAGATGTACAGACAAGTTTTAATCGATCCGAATCAAACCTCTCTGCAACGCATTCTTTGGCGTGACTCTTCGGATCAACCCATTCAAACATTCGAGCTTCTGACCGTCACGTACGGTACAGCATCTGCTGCCTTCCTAGCCATTAGATCGCTTAGGAAATTAGCTGAGGATAACTCTGAGAAGTATCCCGTTGGATCCAGGACAGTTTTAAACGACTTTTATGTTGATGACTTGGTCACCGGCGCTGACAATTTACAAGATGCTTCCTCCATCAAGATTCAGACAAGGCTATTGCTTCTTGAAGGTGGTTTCGAGCTACGCAAATGGTTCTTTAATGTACCTGATTTTCAAGAAGATCAACTTTCCAATCCTGAAAGGGAATTCGTATTATCATCCGACAAGGAATGCGAAACAAGGACATTGGGTCTTGTGTGGAACTGTACCCATGATCACTTCCAATTTTCTAGTATCTCCTGTCTGCCACCTTTGGCTACGCCTACCAAAAGACAAATATTATCAAGAGTTGCTTTGGTTTTTGATCCCCTCGAACTTTTTGGACCTGCGACTGTCATTGCTAAAATCATTATTCAACAACTCTGGCTTCTCAAGATTGGCT